TTTTTTTTTTTTTTTTTTTTTGGCTTCCTGATACTTTGCAGTTATCTTAATGATAGAACTTTAACCAAAAAGAGTTTCCAAGATCTCAACCATGATTGATCTGTTCTTTATGTCTTACAAAGGCTGCTGTACCTGAATCATCTTGTACATTAGTTTCTTCAGATTTAACATAGCGTGTACATGTGTGTGCATACATCCACACATACCCCATCGTTTGGAGAGAGGGCGTTTAAGTGGTGCTGGAGTGTAATTCCACTAAATGAACATTTGTACTGGAAGGAGCTTGAAATTAGACACATGTGCACACATGCTGGGGAGGGGCAGAGAGAGAGTGAGAATCCCAAGCAGGCTCCTTGCTCTCAGTGCAGAGCCCAGCGCGGGGCTCATACGGAGGAACCGTGAGATCGTGACCTGAGCTGAAACCAAGAGTCAGGTGCTTATAACCGACTGAGCCACCTAGGTGCCCCTAATTCAAATTTTTAAAATTAGACACTTTAAGTTTCTTACTTCCCTTAGGGGGAGCAGTTTGCCTAAGTATAAACTATGAGTGTAGTCTGTACTTTATGGGTGATTCAAGGAAAATTTCTTTCTTTGTGCAAGTTCTGCCACACCAGCTGACTTTATCACCAGTCAACTCCATTGTGTAATTGTACGGGTTGTTAAGGTTCTAGGAATTCTGAGATTCCTCTTTGAGCTCTTTTGACCATTTACTGTTCAGCTATAATAGGAATTGCTTGGATTCACATTTGGTGAGTGTTCTGCCTCTTTCAAAGTTACTTGGCAAAATTTCTATATGAATATATATTTTATAATCTCTGGAGAGAGTCTGAAGGTTACATTCGAGTCTTGAGGGTTCCTTGTCCCCCAAAAGATCACTAGTGTTTACAACTTGTCAAGATTTCTAGTTAATATTGTCTTAAACATCCTGGTTCTAGGCACTGAGAAACTTTTGAGCCTTTTTTTTTTTAAGTTAATTTATTTATTTTGAGAGACAGAGACAGAGAGTGGCCGGGGGAGGGGCAGTGAGAGAGGAGGAGTGAGAATCCTAAGCAGCACAGAGCCCGACATGTAGCTCATGTCCTGAGCCAAAACCGAGTTGGACGCTTAATCCACTGAGCCACCCAGGCACCCAATGTGCCTTTTGAAGTAATGGTCTCAGGACTAGGATGGGGCTTTTGCATTTTGTCTTCATGTTTGCCCCTTTATTAATATTTCTTGTGGGGCTTGATCATGTGTGTCTGGGTTTTCGTATCCCTTAAGTAATTTCTGATCTTCCACAGTGTATTAGGAGCCCTGGGTCTGCAGAAAACCTGATGAGGCCTTCAGCTGTAGAAGGCTACTACAGAGAGATGGCTCAGGTAGTTAAGATAAACTAGGGTTCAAGCCAGAGTCAATGACTTGAAACAGCAAAGGTTTATTTAGCTTTATAACAACAATAGTCATGCTGCATTTCCATCCACACTTCATGTCGAGGTTCTGCTCTTACGTCTTTTTTTTTCAGTTTGGGACCCAGATTGCCCCAGCAGCTACTATCTGAAACCTTGTAGTTGTTTAGCAGAGAGAAAGGGATGTGGTGGTAGTGTATGCTCGTTCTTCAGATTACAGTTTGGAAGCAACACAAGTCATTTTTGCGGACATTTAGTTGGTCAGAGTAAGTTAAATATGCAAGCTTGGCTTCAAGAGGGGTACAGAAGAATTAACTGTCCCACAGGGAGGGAACTAGCTCTTGGTGAACAGTAATACGATTTACCATAATGCCCATCCAGGGCCAAAGAGGATGTCTCAGGCCCAGAGAGTCTGTGGAACAAGGCTGATTAATCATTCTAGACTCTATGAGTAGGCTTTGAGGAATCTATGCAATTCTGTGTGTATGTGCATTTTTATGGAAACCTTCCCTAGATTCTTAGATTTATGCTGTGACCACCAAGGGTTGAGAATCACTTCTCAAGGGCTCCTGGCTGGCTCAGTTGGTAGAGCACGCAACTCTTGTGAATTCAAGCCTCACATTGGGCATAGAGCTTATTTTAAAAAAAAGAATCACTTCTTTGAAATATAAGTTTGGTGTTGAACAGAGCTCAGAGAAGGATAGGCAAGGATTCAGTTTTCAGAGAATCTGTCTTGGTTAAGATTTGCATGACTGCAGCTGTTCTGTGGGAGGTGCAGGTGTGGATTTGGATTTCCAGGTGTGGAGAGGCCATGTCAAGGGACTGTGTACGTGCACTAATGGGATCTTCTTCTCGGGGAACATAGGTTGTATCTGCAGCAAACGCTCAATGACACCGTGGGCAGGAAGATTGTCATGGACTTCTTGGGTTTTAACTGGAACTGGATTAATAAACAACAGGGAAAGCGTGGCTGGGGACAGCTGACATCCAACCTGCTGCTCATTGGCATGGAAGGTAAGAAATCTTTCAGAAAGCAGCATAGCTTAGAGTCGTACAAACCTGATTTCAAGGCCTGTCTTCACCAGTCATTTGCTTTATGACTTTGAACGAGTCACTTAACTTTCTTAAACTTCAGCCTTCTTACCTGTAAAAGGAACATGATAATATTTTATAAATAACTCTAAAGATTCAATGAGATGATGTATGTTAAGCAAGTAAGCTTGTTTCATGCACTGGAAAAAGAAAATGAGTTCTTTTCCCTTCCTCAGTTGCTTCACGAGTGTGTACATTCAGATATTAGGGATCTTCCTGAAAAGGTTGCTGTTCTCTATTTGATCTGTCTATATTCAGAAGATTTTTATCCCAGTAGAAGAGGCAAGCTTATTTTTTCAATATAAATTGAACCTTATCTTTTGAATGTTAATATATTTATGGAATTAAATTCAAAAGGTATAAACAGGTGTGTAATGATAAATTTCTATTCCACTCCTGTTTCCCAGCCTCTTGTGTTGCTCCCTGGAGACATCTGCATGTTATTAGTTGCTTGTGTATCCTGCTAGCTGATTTTATGCATACACAAGCAAATATGTGAATACGTTCTTTTATTTTCTTACTCATTTGAATAAAAGGAGAAGCCTTTGAACTCCAGTCAGAAGAAGGAGAGCTGCTTACTGGCTGGGGTCGTTGTCTCATTCTTATTTTTATTTCTGGCACTAGCTGAAGGCCAGGCCCATAGTAGGTATTTAGTAAATGGTGAATAATTTGTATTGAACAAGAAAGTAATTATTTGTTGTCCTTCACCACTGGGCTCTGAAGTCTCTTCTCCTCCTTTGATTGTCCTTTCTTCAGTTTTGGATTCTTTGCTGCCAGTATTAATAAAGATTTCTAGCATTGCAGCTTATGGATTGTATCCTTAACCTGCCCCTTTGAAAGCAACTCTTGACTGACCTGGCAGGAGCCAGTTGTAGTTTACTTAACTAGGAGTTTTGCTGCTGCCTTCTTGTCCTTTGGTAGAGTACACAGAAGCGGATCCCTCAGGTAGAGATGAGAGAACAAATCTTTGACGATGCACATGAACTCTCAGCATGTCAGAGGGCGACTGTCTTGGCCCACCCAGGCTGACCTGGGGAGTGTTTTCTAACCTTCATGCTCTGCAGAGGACCCCTCAGCTCCCAAGGATTGTGCAAAGAATAAACAACAGATGAGGTCCCAGTTACAAAAGAGTAGATGGAGCATATATACACTAAGGCAGAAGTAATTCAAGGTGGCATTTTATTTTATTTTATTTTATTTTATTTTATTATTTTTTATTTTTATTTTTTGAGAGAGAGAGAGAGAGAGAGCGCGCGCACGCACAAGTGAGGGAGGAACAGAGAGAGAGGGAGACACAGAATCTGAAACAGGCTCCAGGCTCTGAGCTGTCAGCGCAGAGCCCGATGTGGGGCTCAAACCCAAAAAATGTGAGATCTTGACCTGAGCTGAAGTTGGACACTCAACCAACTGAGCCACCCAGTGCCACAAGTTGGCATTTAAAATTATTAGCCTTAGGGGCGCCTGGGTGGCTCAGTCGGTTGAGCGTCTGACTTCGGCTCAGGTCATGATCTCACAGTTTGTGGGTTCGAACCCCGCAGCAGGCTCTGTGCTGACTGCTTGCTCAGAGCCTGGAGCCTGTTTCAGATTCTGTGTCTCCTCTCTGTTTCTCCTCTCTGTCCCTCCCCTGCTCACACTTTGTCTCACTCTGTTTCTCCAAAGTAAGTATAAAAAATAAAATAAAATAAAGTTATTAGCCTTATAAAAATTATACAACACTCTTCAGGAATCTGATATACTCTCCCGATTCCTTTATGAGAATTAACAGCCCCACTGTTGCTCTAAGAAGTGTTGCATCCCGTAGATGTGTTGAAGTGGGAGCAAAGATTGAGAATCTTTGAGCTCCAGAAGAGCTACTCCAGGCAAATACATACTCATACAACTTGGAATGACCGGTTAATCCCATCAAAGAAGTTATGTGTGTGTTGTTGATCCCAGTCATTTCGGTTGTTTCTAACTCTTAGTTTGCTACTCTTGAATTCTTACCATAGTCAAGAAAGGTACTAGCATGCACAGTATATTACTTTGCCAGACTTGTATTATCTTGATGCGCTGCTGCTTCTAGTAAGGACAGAAGCATCATTTATGAAAGTTTGCTTTGCTCCAATTTATGGTGAACTCTTAGCCAGTGATGGTTTCTAAACAACTTACTACCCACTGAAAGTGCAACACCTAATTTGCTGAGAGTTGTAATTGCAGTCTCCCTGATTCTGCTTGAAATTTTGATTGGGAACCCTTAGCTGAGAGGGCAGACTGGGTTTCTCCAGCATTGGGCCTTGTGTTTCAGCCTATGCAGTAGAGCCAATGCTCTGAATAAGACCTGTCTTTCCTCCCACAGGAAATGTGACACCTGCTCACTATGATGAGCAGCAGAACTTCTTTGCCCAGATAAAAGGCTATAAGCGATGCATTTTATTCCCTCCGGATCAGTTTGAATGCCTGTACCCATATCCTGTTCATCACCCATGTGACAGACAGAGCCAGGTGAGCTTGTGTGGTCTGAGGAGGGTATAGGACTCCTTTGGGATACAAGGTTGGCATGTTTTTCCCCTTCCCCATGGATAAACTCAGGATAATTTTACAGTATAGCTCACATCATCCAGGCCCCTGTGGTGATCCCAAATGTATATAAGGATAAACAGTCCTGTTGCAATTCTGGAGGGCAAACTCCATCACTGATGCTGTGGACTCTGGTTACCTTGTTTGAATGTGTATGTCTCCACTGGGTTTAATAATTGTTTTCTGTTGTCGTGGATACTTGTTCTTTTTGATAAGGAGAAGGGTGAATAGAATTGAGATATATCACTTACTGTCTTTCCTGCATCTAAAAGAAGTATATGGTTGATTTTATGGCCAACCAGAGAGGTCCTCTCCTTTCTTGAGAAAACTGCCTAGCCACTTAACGTAGGAGTTTTTGCTGGCTAGAACGTGTGTGTGGGAGAAAGTTTCAGAAGGTCTGGTTGAAGGATGCATCCTTAATTCCTCATATTGGCAGGCCATGAGTAGGTTTTCTGACTTGCAAACTATGGTGATTGGCTTCTGATCTCAGGAGCACTGAGGCCCAGGATTCTTTATCACTTAATCTTTGAGCATGGCCTGTCATAACATTGTTTTTTGAGAGAGAGAGAGAATGTGTTTAATGTTTGTATGATATCTTCTGTCAGGTATGAATTCTAAACACGTCTTTTTTTCTTAAAGCCATCTTTTTTTTTTTTTTTTTTTTTTTTTTTTTTTTTTTTTTTTGACTACCAAACTAGTACATCATAGTTAATAATAAAGATTTGGTGATTGACTGATTTTTTTTTTTTCTTTCTCTTGAACCTCTCAGGTGGACTTTGACAATCCTGACTACGAGAGGTTCCCCAATTTCCAGAACGTGGTTGGTTATGAAACAGTGGTTGGCCCTGGTGATGTTCTTTACATCCCAATGTACTGGTGAGGAGGGGGCTAGGACTGGGGGCTTCTTGGGAGCTTTCTTTCCCATTCCCTGGAAAACTGTATTTTGTCCCTTCTGAGTTGTGGCAGGATTGGTCCAGAGGAAGGTTGGCATATCCAGATGTGAGCGTACTGAACATGGAGGAAATGACAACCCTCCCTGTCTCTAGGACAAGATGACAATTCCTCAGGTCAAAAGAGATCCCAGAGGCTTGAGGCTGGAGAAACTGTTCTTGGCTCTTTTGTATTTGGAGACTGAACACCACTGCCTCTGGTCCCGGGTGTGTTTCACAGAATAAGTGTAACGATAACGTCCTTGTTATTTGCCCTAGCTGGAATTTACCACTTTTTTCCATTCCTCTCTCTAAAGAATATTGGTGGCAAACAGGAGCATGTTTATTTTCTTGCAGGTGGCATCACATAGAGTCATTACTAAATGGGGGGATTACCATCACTGTGAACTTCTGGTATAAGGTGAATATGGGTTTTTTCCCCCTAGATGGGATTGGGGTGAGGTAGGTGTAATAAATGATTTGGGGGCAGGGTGGGGAGGTTCGCTATCTCTGCAAGTGACTCCCAGGTCTTTGGGGAGATGAGGGATGGGATTGAACTGGGCTTCTTAAAAGGGAAGAAGCTTCTAGAATGGTGGGTTACACTGAAGCCTGCTGCTAAAGGCATTTCCTGAGCTGCTGCTTCCTTTGCAGGGGGCCCCCACCCCTAAGAGAATTGAATATCCTCTCAAAGCCCATCAGAAAGTGGCCATAATGAGAAACATTGAGAAGATGCTTGGAGAGGCCTTGGGGAACCCACAAGAGGTATGTGGCTGCCCCAAGGTGGCACTCCTGTGGCCCAGTGGGCAGAGTGACCAAGAAAGTCAGGATTGGTGTCACGTTCTCCATAGCTCCTCTGTTTCAGTGTCTGGTGTCCTTTCTCTCCATAGAGGTTATGGGTGTGTTCAGAAAATCTTTGTTTTCTGGTGAGAGCTGGGCTTGACTGGTGGATCAATTATAATCTGTTCCATGCTAGTGGTAATGTTCCCCGTGGGGCTTGTGTGCCAGCTGGGGACCCCTGAGGGGATTCTTCTGGAACGGAAAGCGAGCAGTAAAGCATCTCCTCACATTCTCCCAGCTGTGCCAAGGCTGCTCTAGGTAATGTTGAGACCTGCTTCCCACACAGGTGTGCCAGTGGCCCATTGGGTACCCAGGGGAGGTATTTGTAATGCTCTTGCCTTCTTCCTGTGGATAGCCTCAGCATGCAGAGGACCTGTGGGATTGGGAGGTGGCACCAGCCCCAATTGCAGGTGACCGTTTCAGGATACAGAGGCATTTAACCTTCTTAAATCACATTTAAGAAACATGCAGGCACTCTTGGGTGGCTCCTCTGACCTGTCAGTTTGGTGCTGCTTATAAGGTATTGTGAGAGGGAAAGTATTACAAGATGGACCCAGAGGAGGGGACCATGTCCTGGAATATTTTCCAGGAAGAGAGTAGGTTAGAGGGTTTTAAAGATTGAAAGCCTTGTCCCTGCCCTTGGCTGGACATCGAATGCCTCCAGACACACCACGTCTGGTTCCAGGGCCAGGGGACAGGCAGTTCTGACTGGCTCCTCATGTCTCTTCACAGGTGGGGCCCTTGTTGAACACAATGATCAAGGGTCGATACAACTAGCCTGCCAGGAGTCGAGGCCTCCTGCCAGGTGACTGCTAGCCCGTCCACACCGCTTCATTGATGAGGACAGGAGACTCCAGGCGCTAGTATTGCACGCTGCACTTAATGGACTGGACTCTTGCCATGGCCCTGGAGGCAGGTGTTTGGGGCAAGGCAGGGTGGTTGGCACTCCACTCCCATTTGGAGGGACTTCTTGCCCTTGCCTCTGTGCCCCAGCATCTTCCCTCTCTGCCCCCTAAGGTCCTGCATTCAGTGTGTGGAGTCCCAGCTTCTGGTTGTCATCACATCTGTGTGTGTCAGTCTGTCACCCTCAGGATGTGTGTGCGTGTGTGTGCATGCACACGCATGTATGTATCTGTTTCTTGCTTTCTCCTGGGTCAGGATGGCGCTGCTGGCTCTCAGCCCTGTCTCCTGCAACCTCAGTGCCTCAGCCTGAGAGAGAGGAGATGGTCTTGGACGCCCACCACACCTGGGCTGCAGGGCCAGAGCTCTCCTGACCATCAGGTCAGTCTGCCTCCTTCCAGTTTTCGCAGAGTCAGGCTCTAGGCTGGGTGGGAATGGCCACCGGGACTCTTCGTGGGGAAAGTGAGAGGGAGGTTTGCCTCTATGAGCCTAGGTAGGCTTCCTGTGAGAGAATTAGACAAGGTTCTGACTCGGACCTTTAAGCTCAAGCCATACATAGAAAACAGCCTTGGGATACGAGAACCAAGGATTGTGTATAAGTTCCAAATTGCAGACACATACAGCTTCTCTCTTTCAGCACCAGCTCTTGGCTCCCTGTGCTGAGTACCAAGGGAGTCCTCCTGTAGTGGCTTCTCTAGGTTCTAGGGGTATAAGCCTCTGTGGATGTGTGTGTGGTGTGTGTGTGCATGCGTGTGTGTGTCCACACTGGCCTGCCTCTCTGCTTACCAGGTTTCTCCACTGCTTAACCTTGTCCAGTGGGACAGACAGTGTGAGCCCCAGGGAAGTACCGCCTGACCTAGCCTAAAGCTTTTACACTTAGTTTTAGCCATTGGACACTCTTCGGGTCTCACTGCAAACTGCCTGAGGCTGACTGGCTAGAGCGTCCAGGCCCTGTGACCCTCACTCCCCAGGCCACGTCCTCTTCTGCAGTCCTTCCTGGCTGAGTAGATGAAATGGGGTCAAGCTTAGGCAGCTAACTTGCCACTGTCATCCACCTCAGGGCAAGGACAAAAATGTAGCCTTGCCTCTTAAAGCCAGCTCCTCTGCCAGACCCCACTGTAATGTTCCACAAACACTCTTGAAAGTCAGGGCAACCGATGGAGCACAGAAGTGGAATTTTTTTTTTTTCCTGTTCATTGTTACTTGTGGGAACCCGTGTCAGGGCCGCAGCTTATAGCTGGGCACTGCACCACTTGAAGGGCCATCAGTCACATGACTCAGTGGAACTGGGGCCCCTGGAATTGGGCAGTGTGGTGGCCCCTGTGTCTTCTCACCTCCAGTCCCATCTCCATGCCCCTTCTTCCTGTAAGGAAAGAGGAGCTGGAGTTGGAAAACTGATTTTATCCCCCCCCCCTTTTTTTTTTTTGCCAAAGGTTTACTTTCAGTGTCTGAGCTGTGGCTCTAAGTCCCGAAGCTCAGTTTACAGTTACAGCGCACTGATGGACTGAGAGGGTGTGTGTATGTGTGTGTGCATCTGTGTATGTATTTTGGGGAGGGGCGTCTATTTGTAGTGCCCCATTCTGGGGTTCTCTGATGCAGCTTGGGTGCGCAAACACGGTACCTTCTCAAGTGTAGTTCTTTCAAATATAGCCAATGCTGGAAAATATGATTGCAGTGATCTCCATCCCTCTATCTCTTTTGGGAAAGAGGAGCACAGCAAAGAAAATAAGGCAGACAGATGATAAACTTGACCACAGTCAAACTTTGAAAGATTATTTTCATTCTCCTTAGCAGGTCTGCTGCATTCCTGGCTCAGCCCTCAAAGATGAGGGTGACGTACGGCAGGAGGCATGTGCCACTCAGCTGGTCCTTGCTGGGTGCTGTGCTGACACAGGTCTGACCTAAGGCTCCCAAGGGGGAGGATCCTTTATAGGATTGGTCCTGATCCATGGATAATATAATAGTGACCCTGATAGTTAGACACCTGCCTAGTGCTCTTATCTTGTTCCTCACCATCTTGCAAGGTGGGTATTCTCATTTCACAGCTAAAGAGATGGGTTCAGAGCAGTTTCAGTGATTAATGGCAGTAAGGATTTAAACCTAGTGCTATTTGGCTGCAAACCCCCTGCTCCCTTTCCACCAAATTGTTAGTTCTCCTACCTTTCCTCCTCCTCTGCACTACAAGCCATCCTCGGATCTCACCCCGCTGTGCAGTGCCCAAGAGGATGCATGAGATACAGTTCAGGGTAAAAGCTCTTCTGGGCTCCAGCTAAAGACTTGGGAAAACTACTGGGAAGCCCTGTTCTGAGTGCAGAGTACTGGGAGGAGCTGTGGGGAAATGGAGTTCTAGACCTAGTGCATTATTTGTGTGTCCTTGAATGGGCCCCATAATTTCTCCCAGCACACGTCTGCACCTATGAGATTGAAGATTCAGTTCTAGATAATAACTAAGAACATTGATTCATGTTCTGCTGCTTCCATTTGCCCCAAGGAAGAGATCTAGGCTCCTTCCCTCACTTACCTAGATTAGGGCTGTTCGGGCTCAAATTCTACTTGCAGCTGAGGAAACTTACCTGCTCTGTTGCTTACTCCTGTGCTGGCCAGCAGTGTAGAGGCAGACACACCAAGGGAAGGTGGGCCTTTGGGCCTGAATGGAGGTCAGCCATATTGCAGGCTCCCATTTTTATACCAGCAGGTACACGGGAAACTACTCTTTTGTGAAGTCAAATATTTGTTGGGGGGTTGGAGTTCGGGGGGGGGGGGGGCTGTTCTGGGCATCAGTTGAGCAGATGCCCAGGATGCCTGGGGGAGACCAGCTTCCCATACAAATCAGAGCTCTAAATTACAAGGTTTTTACCAACGCGAACAGTTGGGGGAAGTCGTCTGCTCTCATTTGCGTAATGGTTTCTGTCACTGGTGATTAGACACAGGATGAAGGAAAAGAAATTTGACAATTAGGAATGAGCGATCATTAATCTGAATCTGTTAGGAGACAGAGAGGGGAAGGATCCTTATCGGTGGGCCAGCCCAGTGTGGGGAGGCCCTCCCTCTGCCCCCAGAGACTCTTGGGCCACGTACCCTTTCCTTGTTTCCACAAGCCGACGGAGCTGATATTTCTTGACAGGCTAGGTGGGCCCAGTCCCCAGCCTGAGGTGGATACAGGAATGGACACGTATAGGCATGAGCCATCAGAGAGAGAGAGATGAGTGTCAATTGCAAGTGATAGGGCAAAGGATAACGACAGAATAGTTGTGACATGCTTGCTGTTTGTGGAAAAATTTTTTAATTCAACACCCCAGATACCCTTCTTGTGACAAGTATTTGTTATATTCTAACACTACAGGGTGTGGAGAAAACCTAGTTTTTATCCTGTAGGAGCTTCTACTTAGTTGGAGGGGAAACCACATGAAACAACCAGCGGTTATGAAGCCATGAATCGTGCGCCCTTGTGAGGACAAGATGAGAGATTGTTGACAGATGAGGAAGATCAGTAGAGAGCAAACCTCTGGGCTACCCAGGGAGTAATGTTGATTCTTCCCCGTCAGTTCAGCCGTAGTAGTTGCGTGGAGGGCACTGAGGCCCCACCCAGATACGTGAACAGGTAATGAGATCACCTCCAGTGGGCTGAGTTGTAAGGTGTGGAGATTCCCAACCTGGATCTTCCCAGGTCTCTGTGGTACCTGTGTTCATTCTTCCTCTGTCTTCAAACTTCAGGGACTGTATTAATTTGCACTAGTTGGTATTTGTTCCTCAGTTTTGTGACTTGTATGTGGTGGGTTCCTTAGATTAGAAGCTCCCTCAAAGATTGGGGAAAAGGGTGGTTCCTTGTCTCCTGTCAGAATGTGAACTTCGCAGACAGGACTGTTTCTCTTCCTTGATAAGTTCCCTACCTCTGTGGCTTCTACCCTTCCAGATCGGATGCAGAGTTTAGTAGGGCTGCAGGGAATGGCCCTCAGTGACTAGTTTTACCCAAATAGGATGGATGCCGGGGTGCACTGAGAAGTGGCTCATGGGGTTCCAGGGGCCCTGGCCTTTCAAGCCTGTTCTTGTCCTTCCCTGGGACCTTCAGTGCTCGTTCTCCAGTCCCTGCTGACTTCTCTGGTGTCCTCTCAAGCTTCCTGCATTGAAGAGATGTTCCAGTTTCCCTTTTCAGGGCTCCTCCCGTTTCTCCTACTCAGCCTCCCTCTGTCCAGTCTCCACCAAGAGCCTTTTTCCTGAACGGGCGTTGCCCTCTCTTCAAAAGCCACGTCCATGGCTGCAAGTGTTGGGATAGAGTTTCTCTAGGATCCCTCTCCCTGGGATCAGCCCTGAGCATGTTTGAGTCATCTTCTCTTCTGACCTGCAGTTAGTCTGTTTGTTCTGTGCCTATTCTGCCCACGTAGCATTCCTTTGTTTGTTCTGTGTAGCCTGTTTAGCTTTTCTAACTCTGGTGGCTCTTCTGCTAGTCTTCAGCCGTCTGTTTAGTCCTCACAGGTCTTGGGGTCCTTAGTGGAGACTGAGCACTTTTGGTGCGTTTTTAGGGGACGAGGCCTTAGACACTAGCAACCGTGAGGCCTGAGGATCTATGGCCAGTGGTGCCTCCAAAGATGGGTGAGGGGAGGGTACCCAGAGTCTTGGATAACGGAGAATCATGAGGAGGGATTGGGTAGGAGAATCCCCAGGAGTGGGGTCAGGCCTGGCAAGCCAGGGTGGAAGAAGCAGAGTTTTGTGTTTCCATCTGAATGCATCTGTGTGCCTTACGGTCCAGCAAGCAGTTCAGGGATTGTGGTCATCTTGTGGATGTCTCCTGGTCTGTGGTGTCTTTGGCGATGCTCTGAGTCACCAAGTTTGGCTGATCTCCGCATTTCAGCGCTTGCTGGGACGGAAACAGCATGTTGAGTAGTTTTGTGTCTGGAACGAAGGTCTTAGATGAGACAAGCCACGGAAGCTGGGATAGCAGGTGAGGGAGCAGTGGTCAGCTTACCCAGATTGTCTTTTCCATTCCTCCAAGTGTTTAGGCACAAAAACTGATTAAAGAAGTGAAAAAAACTAGGCCTTGCCTTCTTCCCCACCCGAAGTCTGGGTTTTAGGTAGTATTTTGGGAAGGGGCATGTGTCCTTACCTTCCAATAGAAGCAACCTAGCAT